GAGAGAGAGAGAGGAGATCGAAGATGGAGAATCTTCGAATTATATTAATTTATATTACGACAATTTGTATTTCCAATCATTGTTACAGACAGTTGAGAAAGAAAAGCAGAAATAACGTTGAATAGAGAAAGGATAGAAGATGAGAAGAATATCGTACAAGAATATCGAAATTCTGTAAATTTGATAAGCACAGAGAGAAGAATTATTCAAGGTGTGTGTGTGAGAGAGAGAGAGAGAGAGAGAGAAGAAGAGAATAGAATTGTTCCTAGTCACAATGAAGATAGAACGATTGTAAATTCGATGATAAGTATCCAACATGTAGCATAGACAAAGAAGAATGGAAGGAAAAGATATAGAGATGTAGAGATGCGAGAGAAAGAGTGCGAAAGAGAAAGAGAATATATACATATATATATATATATACATATTGGATATATATTTAGAATCCCCTTCACGAAAGAGAATACCTTCAAATCGATACTGCCATTTTCAGCTTTTTGAGGTGTTTTAGGATCCCTCGAAACTGGTTTAAGTTGGATAGATTGAAAGTTGTCGGCTTTAATTTCGTATTTCGGTGGTTTGCGTAGTCCAGATCTCTTCTCGTTCGTCTCGGCTGCCACTGGCTGCATTTAACGTATCATTTATTCGAGAAAAAAATTTCAACTTGCGAATAACCAACCCGGCAAAGTTGTCTCGCAATTACTAACCTTTCTAATTAACTACGGAACATTATGATTCGCGAGAAAAAAAAATCTCACACTCACCTTGAGTTCCACCTTGTTCAGAGTCTTCGCTTCCTCTTCGATCTGTAATTTAAGAAAATCAATATATTTAGAAACGAAGCGATAGAAAAGCGGATGAAAATTTTATCTCTCAGTTGTTAGTTTAGTCCAATTAAATTTACCTTCGCTCCCGGCTTGAGGCTAAGCTTTCTGGTCTGTTCCTCTTCCTGTAAAAAAAACGAGAAAAAAAAGATTGTTTAAAAAAAATAGATCTCAATAGTTACGATCGATGAATGAAATTATGCTTCGATGAATTAATTGTTGTTACGTATAATTTTTTAGCGATTGCTGAAAAATAAATATGATTAAATTATGCGAGATGATGATCTGCTTCAATTTAGTTTGCTTCAAAAAAAATCTTTATTTAGTTTGCGAGATAAAAAAAATTGAAGTAGTGAAATTACGTGATATACACGCTTGTGCAAATGCATAAATGGATGAGTGCAATAAGAAGTAGTGTCATGTACGTATATGAACAAATTAACAAATTAACGTTGTGTTATACGAGTGAGTGATTAATTTCGTGTACCTTTGGTTGTTCGGGTTTACCAAATGTAACTTTAGGTTTTGGAGTAGGTTCTCCCTTCTAAAAAAAAAAAAACCAATTGTGTGGCTATTTAGGATCGTATTTTGCGTAAAAATTGTGGTATCTAACTAAGCAAAAAGAGGCGCGATCTTATGTACCTTGGCTTCCTCAGGTTTACCAAGTGTGGTTTTAGCTTTTGGGGCAGGTTCTTCTTTCTAAAAAAAATCAATTGCGTGGATATTTAGGATCGTGTTTTGAACGTAAAAATTGTATGGATCTAACTAAGAAAAAAGGGATATGATCTTATGTACCTTAGCCTCCTCGGGTTTACCAAGTGTGACTTTAGGTTTTGGAGCAAGTTCTTCTTTCTAAAAAGAAAATCATCAATTGTGTAGCTATTTATAGGATCCTGTCCTGGATATATTGTGGTATCTAACTAAGAGAAAAAAGGGGACGCCATTTCATGTACCTTAGCTTCTTCAGGTTTAGTAAGTGTAACTTTAGGTTTAGGAACAGGTTCTTCCTTCTAAAAAAAATCAATTGCGTGGCTGTTTAGGATCATGTTTTGTATCTAACTAAGAAAAAAAAGGAATGTGATCTTATGTACCTTAGCCTCCTCGGGTTTAGCAAGTGTGGTTTTGGGTTTTAAGCAGGTTCTTCCTTCTAAAAAAAACCAATTGCGTAGCTATTTAGGATCGTGTTTTGAGAAAAATTGTGATATCTAACTAAGAAAAAAAGGAATGTGATCTTATGTACCTTAGCCTCTGCGGGTTTAGTAAGTGTCTTAGATTTTGAAACAGATTCCTCCTTCTAAAAAAAAATCAGCAATTTGTGGCTATTTAAGATAGTGTTTTAGATGCATATAAAAATTTTGGTATCTAACTAAAAAAAAAGAGGGGCGCCATTTTATATACCTTAGCCTCCTCGGGTTTAGCAAGTGTGGTTTTGGGTTTTAAAGTAGATTCATCTTTCTAAAAAGAAGTATCAATTGTGTGGCTATTTAAGATCGTGTTTTGTGTAAAAATTGTGATATAACTAAGAAAAAAAGGAATTTTATGTACCTTAGATTCTACAGGATTAGTAAGTGTGGTTTTAGATTTTGGAACAGATTCTTCCTTCTAAAAAAGTATCAATTGTGTGGCTATTTAGGATCATGTTTTGTGTAAAAATGTGTGTATCTAACTAAAAAGGGGACATGATCTTTTGTACCTTAGGCTCCTCCAGTTTAGCAAGTGTGGTTTTGGGTTTTAAAGTAGATTCCTCCTTCTAAAAAGAA